AATTGAAGCAATCGGTGCTGACCTCCGGGCTCAATTAACACATGACTTTCCTCGTTGCTGTTTTTTTTCATTTCAGTTAGATGAATCTACGGATAGATCCGATTGTGCTCAAGTCGTCATCTTCGTTCTTTTAGTTTTTCCGATCTGTCTGTTCACGAAGAGTTATTTACATTATTTTCCTTAAAAACCAGTACGAAGGGTGAAGATATTTTTGATGCTCTGAAGCAAAATTTTATCTCCGCGAAAGTGCCACTTCATAAATTAGTAGCTATCAACTCGGATGGTGCTGCGAATATGACTGGTTGCACGAAAGGTTTAATTGCGAGGTGTAAGAATGACGCTGAGTTCCCGAAATTCCATCATTATCACTGCATGTTACACCAGCTAGCTTTATGCGTTAAAAAAATTTCGGACAATGTCATAACTTTAGCAGTTAAAATAATTAATTCGATTATTTGAAAACCCTTGCAGCATAGACGGTATAATGTTTTGAAAGAAAAGAATAATTTAGAATCTCGCGATTTATTGTTTCATACAGAAGTTCGGTGGCTTAGCAAGGGTGTTATGCTGTGTCGGTTCTGGGAAAATTTAGATGATATTGTTTCTTTTTTAAAATCACGTGAAGATGTACACGATGAATTAAATGATGCGGAGTGACGCAAGAAATTGGTATTCACCGCGGACTTAACAGAGAATGTCAATATTTATAATAAAGAGATGCAAGGTTCTCGGAGATATTTTTGGCAACATCTAAAATCTCTCGAAAATTACAAAAAAGTTATTATCATCAGCGATCGCTGAATTCGGTAAAAATTCAATTCTTTTTCCATTTATACGTTTGCGAAGTCTTGTTGAGAACGAGTACAGCGCTAAGCTCGATTTTCAGCAATTTGCAGAGTGCATGCAACAACTTCTAGATAATTTAAATTTCAGATTTAAGGACATTATTGAAACGGGTGAAATTCCAAAATATTTACGTTCTCCACTTAATTTATCCACGGAAATTAACGATATTATTTCTTTGATCATCAAAAATAATCATCCAGTTAGCGCGATCGAGTTATATCATGAAATGAATAACTTACGTCAACAAGATAAAGATTTTCAACAAATCACTGACATCGATGATCTATGGCAAAAGATTTCGCGAAATAATAGTTATCCGAATCTCTTCATTATTTATAAACGAATTTGTAGTATATTCGGTACTTCGTACTTATGTGAATCGGTATTTTCTCACATGAATAACATTAAGTCCTCGGATCGAACACTTTTGACAGGTTCTTCACTCAATGATGCAATTTTAGTAACAATAAGTGACTATCAGCCAGATTTGAATAAATTATCACTCGGCATGATGCCTCAGTCCTCTCATGGACTCTCTTTGACCGAATGTTATCTGCCTTATAATTTCAATCCTTCACTTGCACGGGGAACGCATGAGGAACGCATGATGCATGAGATTATTTATTGATCAGCTCCTGATCATTTTTACATGTTCCATAATTTTTCCCAATTTCCCGATCCTTATATTTTCCTTCCTATTCCTGACGGAATACGCCTACCACCTTCCGCGGTTCCCGTTGAACAGCATTGAAAAATCTCAAATCTCAACGTCATCTACTCGAAGATAATTTTCAAACCCGGTGAATAAATGGACTAACAAAATGGTTCCAATCTTAGTAAAATATACGCATTGCCGTGAAGGACATGCATGTACTTCAGCCGTCTAAACGGTACACCAGCTAGCATAAAGTTGTGAAAGTCAAATAATTATTACAAAGGCACAATACGCACGGTCAATACAGTTCGGCGGAATTCCGACTTGGGATTGGGATTACGACCAATAAGCTGGTGTGAATCATCTAAATAATTACCAAACTTGTGAATATCAAATAATTATGGGGCCAGAATTTACTGTTATCGCACCAACGACGGCCTCGTCTAGAACGGCGAGAACAAAATTTATTCAATTCCTGCTCTCGGAAGAAATATTGACTCGAGAGGCCGTCCGATAACTGAGCTCCATGCTCAGCTTCTCAGGAATTCAACACCCAAGACATTCAAACACGTCTTGTCATTCTGTTCTCCACCTTATGGGCGCAAAGGTTAACGGGCAAAGCGCCGCGGCTTCCCGGCTTCGGATGGAGGTGCTAGCTCTCGATACCTCAGGCCTTTTCACATTAGTGGGCAATATCTTAATAGTGTGTTGCAGTATCCAGTGTCCAATAAAGAGAAATTGACAAAACGATCTCGAAGATCACTGAGAAAATCATTATGAGCATGTGAAAATGAATGAATGACTAAATAATCATTAGAAATTCAAAATAAAGGAACATTGTATGACTTTCTGTTCACCAACAATTTAATCTTCCGTTGGGAAATCCGTAAAACCGCAGAACGATTGGAGGGTAAAAACAATACTTAACATTACTTTAAAGATTTTACAAACAGTCTCAAACAGGCTATCTTTATTGCTACTACGATTAATGTGCATTCCTGTTTTAGCTGCCAGAACCATCCGGAAGGAGGGCGAAAGGCAAAAATTCAAATTAGCTGGCGAGATCGTGTTCCTTACGATACCGACCCTGAGTTAGAAAACTAACTAGTATCAACATGGTATTTCTAGGAAATCTCCGACCGATAGTTCTTCACGTCTACTTAATGTTTTGATCCGTAAAAAGTACATGATGAGTGTGAGGTTGATGGGAGAAGGGGTATAAATTGTTGCATACTGCTGATCAGTGAAGCTTAAACCGCCGAGTTTGGAAAGTCCTCAATCCATGCCACTTCATTTTCAAAAACACGCGATTGTTTCATTCGTTTGTCACCACTCACTCGTTATTCTGATTGTCGGTACTGATGTAAACTGATGAAATTAATGAAGAATAAAACTAATAAAGAATGACTAGTTTTTGACTAAAGCTTTCCCACCTTGTGCCCATCGGGCGTTATCAATGTACGACTCAATATACTCTGGCTGTGGTAAGTACATTGCACATTTAGACGAGAAAGACTCAAGGGTTTCGTATCTTTGCAATTGTATTTCAGCGCGCTTGTAAGGCCCCGTTGAACAAGAACTTACCGAATCGAGTGGTCACCTCAGAACCATTTGGCATGCCGTCACTTGGGGGTGTCGGAGAAAAATGGAAAGACTATCCTAACTAGTGCCGCGTTCTCGAATTCGCTTGTCCGGATTTTTTACATTATTTGTCATCTCCCTCGCACAGCGGTCGAAGTTTTCCGAACTACGGGGAAAAAACCACGATCCTGGCATGCCTTTAAGCATTTATTGGGAGTGGCGGGAAATTTATAGAAAAGCACTTTTAGGGTTCTAACTTCGATGACGTCGCACCCTAGGACCTTGTTTCCTTTTCAGCTTTATGATCATTATTTTACTGATATTACGTGTAAATTACAGTAGATACGTATACTCTGTATAGTTTTCTGATTTAAACGTATTTTCGAGTTTTACATCGGCTAGTCGTGTTATAATCCAAATCATTATCGAATATGTATATGTCAAGTAAAAGCGGTTTCATGGCTGATCAATGTCACGCTATCCGTTTTTAAGAGTGTTGAGCCTTGTATCAACACTAAACTTATCGTCAGTATGTTTGTAATACTAGCCTTACAGACTTCTATTCCGGTTCGAAGGAATGAAGTCCCTCCAGTTTTCGGTCCTAGCCGCCTTGACACCCTTGATAGAAGAGTGGTCTCTGATTAATGCTGAAGAGTCAAACACTGGGTTCTACGCGCGCATCCGTTACATCGACATGATCGAGACCTCAAGTGTTCTTCGATGTCATCTCTGTATTGAAAATAATGAGAGATGACATAAAATGGGAACCGAGTTGCTGAATTTCCGAACATACCCAATACGGCGTAGGATACTGAGATATGTATCCCTTTGGCTAATGCCATACCGTTCATTGGGGGTCACCCGATCCAAGAACTCTTGGAATTAGAACTTGGACTATGAGGGCCAAATTATAGATTGTAGTAAATGTAGTTTGATTGCCCTTTAAGAGAAAAATTAATGTACGTCAGGGGCAGTCCGCTCAGTTATGCGACACCTTTCAAGTGGTAGAGATTATTGAAAACTAAGTGGGTAACAAGAAGTATCACCGGGGACTTATAGTTACGGAACGAAGGGTGGTCGATATAACGAGAAGGACCGCACTGTTCTCCTAGTTACAATACGGAAGGATAAAAAACAAAACGATATAAACGATAAAAAATTCCAACACCGCCCGGTTGACCCCTTTATTAATTGTGTGGACAGTAGACATTGAAAAAACTCAAAGAAACCTTACAAATATTTCGGACGTGTGACACATTAGTATGGATATGTGAGTGATTTTTTATTTAAGACATCGGTCACATTTTTGAACAAGACGACTCGCTGTAGACAATGTCAAAACTTTACCCCATTAACATCAAACATTAACGGCATACGAAGATTGTACGGATTACCCGTCTGACTAATAAATTCATTAGTCAACTGATTATTCGATAGATTCAATTGGAGTACTGCAAGAAGGCAGCGGTGACTTGCAATCTGACGTGGTTACTCATGGGGATGGTTACTCAATGTCGGGTAAGATGTGAATGTTTAAGTGCAGTTGCGTTAATAGACCTCCAAGTCGTCGTCATGGTCTCATTGTAAACGTTGTTACGATGCCGGAAGGAGCATTGAATGATATGTATTTAGTGGATGAATTCATGACCGGGAGACTAATAATTACAAATGGAATAAAATTATTTGAAATCCAAGCGAAGGAAGTTATACCAGGTATTTTTCCAGTGGGCATAAGTTTTTCACTGATCACTGATAAGTTAAATTATTTTTTTTATGGGGTTGCTCCCAAGAACTTTTTTCCATTTTCAACAAGGTTTTCAACTAAGAACTTATGTTTTCAAATTAGATCAAAATTTCCGCAAACCGTCGTAAATGGCTGACTGAATTCACAGAGATCAAGATAGAATAATTTACTCACCTTGGCCTTTGTGGCTTTGTCCAGCGTATGTCCACTGAATCTGATTGTACTTTCGGTAGCGGCCATTTCCAGCATCCCTATAACATGTTGAAAAACAAGACATCAGGTCAATGAGCCAATTGGAATATACACTGAATATACACTGTTGATTCAATTACTATGAATCAAATTTGCAGTGGAAAGAAAAAGTTTCAAATAACAATTTATGTTACTGATGTCATAAAGATCAATGAGAACCTCAGCTTTTAGTGTGGATGAGGTACTGATTTAGATATCTATCGTCGTAACATGGTACTTCTTTCTGGTTTCGACGATTCTGTGGTTTTGAGATTTCCCGACCAGAAGTATACTATTGTCAAGGTGATGCCATTTTTATTTATTGGACGGACAATTTCAATTTTGTATTGCATTTGCATTTTCTCTATTCGTATTCGTTATGGCCCTGCAAAGAGCGACACATTCAAAACTACATCTTGGTCACCAAGAAGATAAACTGCTGTACTCTGCCTTTGTAAATGATAGAAATGCAGTGCGCTGTTTTTGAGATCTCCAAGATATAGCGCCATCAGCAAGCAAAAACATATCCTGCGTAAGACTTACGATCTTGACTGCAATTTCCCCAGTTAGATTCAAAGTATCCAATCAGGTGGCCTTCTGTAGTTTTGTAACTCAAACCCAGCTTCCTGGTACCAACTAGTTATCTTAGCACCCTTTTGGCAGTATCCAGTCCATCTTGATTTTCCGGTATATCAGGTCTCGTACAGGTAGTAAGGTACATTAGAGCACCAATTAACTGACGATAAGGATAGGCATCATCAACTTCATGTGTCGTCTCGTTCAACTTTATCAGCCCTTAATTTCAATCACTGGGTTACATCCATCAATCCCGTACTTCTTGTGTAGACTTATTACATATCCCTTTTGTGACAACTTGATCTCCTCGTGCCCTTCACAAACCTCCAGATGTAGGCAATTTTTGGCGTGGCTCAAATGAAGACCCATATATCTCTCAGGGTCTCACCTAAACGCCTATTTCATTGCATTTCAGCCTGCCTTCGGCTATATATTGCCTTGTTCCGCTTGCACCCATTTCTGCCTGTCGGTAGATCATATAGAAAAACATGAGCTCGCTTCATCACCTCTCTCTGAGTGGATCTCTTTGTAATAATGTATTTGAGTAAATGTTCCAGCATGTCAGGTAAACCCATAATTATTTCCTCCTCAAGTTGGCCGTTCAAAAAGATATACATCAAGTTGCCAAACTTTCAAGTTTAATTTCGCCGATAAGGCCAACAGCAATCTTATTGAGTCCATCTTAGCCACTGGAGTGAACTGGTGATAGTCGAGCCCATACTGTTAGTTATAATTGCAATTGATCCATTGGGCTTGTATTCATTCGCCAAAACTGTCAGGCATCCAATTTCGTTCTGAGAATGATCCGTTTAGTAATTTGGAAGATATTCTTGGACCCAAGACTTTCAATTTCGTCTACAATAGCTCTGCTCTATTCAGCTTTGTCCTCACCATTTATCGCGTCATAGAATTCTACCTGAGCTGCGCCAGAAAATGTATCCCGCAATGAGAACTCATCATCAACAAATTCCTCGTCTGCAGTTTTGAAAACACCGTCCTCAACATCAATAATATGAGGTAAACTCCTGGCTAGTTGATCTATCGCGGCACTTATTGTCCTTTAGACTTTTGGAGTTATGGACTCCTTCAGCGGCGAACTTAACGTTGATGGGCGATATGAACTATCCCTAGTCGATGTCGTGGAGATTGAGACTCTTGAGATCTTCCCCCTCAAGTATTGTTCCTCATCCTCATATGGTAAAATCAACGTCTCGACACTTTCTTCGCCGAGAGTGGGATTTAGTTCTAGCTCTTTCACAGAGCGTACGTCCCTAGTGACTATAATCTTGGTAATTTCTGGGACTCAAATCCTATAACCCTTAGTGTCACGAAGACAATCAGCAAAAATACCCTTGATGGACCTTGGAGCAAATTTATCTTTTGTTGGATCTTTGTCAAGTACTCAAGTACAATTGTCAAGTACAATACTTCCGACCCAGAAGTCCTCATGTGGGACAACTTTGGTGAGGATCCGGTCCATTTTTCATATGGAGCTGAGCCAATTAAGGCACTTGCTGGCGACCGATTACGTATGTAAGCAGCAGTTGCTATAGTATCAGACAATAATTTTTGGGGTAGCCCCGATTCAATGAGGAGACATCTCGCCATGTCAAAGAGGGTGCGGTTCATCCTCTCCTCTAGCCCATTTTGCTGAGGCGTTCGAGCTGCCGAGTACCTGCGTTCAATTCCCCAACTGGTCAGTAAGAAGTCGAAATCAAGATTATCATACTCTTTTCCTCTATCAGACTGAACAGCCTTCATTTTTAAATCTGCCTGATTTTCTATGACATTTTTATTGGACCTGATTGCTTTAGTGACTGCACTTTTGTGCTTTAAGAAGTATATCTCGCAATACCGTAAACTATCATCAATGAAACTGACAAACCATTTTGCCCCATAGATCCCAGGAACTCGCATTGGACCTACAACATCACTATGCACGATCTGAAGAAGTTGTCGGCCTTGGATGATACTGGCAAACCAAGATGAGAGAGAGGATTCATTAACTCACTCACATTAAGGGGACCAAAGCGGTGGTGTCACATCTACAGAGAGGACGCAGCATGTTGCATATGGGCTGCGTCAGCAAACTTAGGTTTATCCGGGATGATGTATAAGTCGGCTTGACGCTCAGCCTTGAATTTAATGTGCCCCTTTGAATCCACAACGACAGAATGATCCTTGAGAAAAACCACGGCTCTAACCTTATTTGTAACCGTGGCAACTGTCATTAAATTTGTTCGTAAATCTGGGAGGAAAGGAGTATTTCAATTTTCTGTAGTTCAATCATTTTGCGTCTTTAGGAATGGGAAATGGTAATAGTACTACTCCCTTTCCTTCGACAGATGTTGAAGCACTATTTGCCAGATTTAGTTGGTCCTTCGTGGATGAATATTGGGCACTGAATATCGCCTTGTTTCCACAATGATGAAAGCCCAAAGCTGTACATCCACTATCCAAAATCGCTTCATTGATTTCAAAACTTGTGAACGAATCACTCGTTGCAGAAAAATCGTACGTGATGGAAGAGTCATCCGTAGTATCGGTTTTTGCATTCTCTTGATGGTCATTAGTAGGGTCAGAGTCATCAGTTGTGGCAGACTGATCAAAATTGACCTTCAACCACTGTTCAATAACTTCAACCACTCAATCAATAACGGTACTCCAGATGGTTCTGGTGACTCTGGTACCTCGGGTACTTCTGGTGCCTCTGACGACTCTGGTGCTTTTAGTATTTCTGGTACCTCTGGTGCCTCTGGTGACTCTGGTGACTCTGGGGCTTCTAGTACCTCTGGTAACTCTGGTGCTTCAAATATCTTTGGTGCATCTAGTGCCTCTGATGGTGATGATTAATTAGACTGATCCAGCAATCCTGGTTTGAAAATTTTTCTGGAAGTGATAACATTTAACCGATCAAGATGTTTCTCTACATCTGGAAATTATTATCAAATGAAAAAAAACAGGATAATTAATAAAAATGGGCAAAAGCGATAAAAATATTAATGTTAATGCTTTTTGTGGTCCAAAAATGTATCAATAATTACGTATTATATATTATACATTCCGAAAATTGTTCATATGCTAATCAGTGACAACTTACCGTTTACTGCCAGTACTCTTGCTACATAACATCGGGTATTGTACCACAAAACTCGTGCTCTCGGTCTACCATCCACTAGTATGAAACGTTCAGAGGCAATCACAGCAATTTCTCTCAAATTGTTTCCCATGAAAATAAAGATATGTAAATTGTAGAAGCTTCGCGGTGGAGGAAAGCTGAATGTACTAAATTTCCAGTTGTTGAAAATGTCGACTGTCTTTTGATTTTCAAGAGCAAAATTGTGTACGAGAAGAGAGGAAAGATGACGTAACATTTCTGAAGTTTCGCTATAATCTTTAATTATTAAAAGCGTATTATGGTGAGCTTATGTAAATATGAACCTATCATAATATTGTAAAAATTACGTTTATGTTACGAATCAATGAAATAAACGTGGTAAATTAATAAAATTTTAATTCGAGATATGCGAAGGAGAATTTACCACACAAATTAATTAATTAATTAATTGTTATCAAGTAGAATTAATTAATAATGTTATCGAATATTATCTTGTCGGCCATTAGATTCTCTTCAATGTAATTTTCCATGAGCTTGGATCTCTAGACGTAATCCATTGATCGAAACCTGTAGAAAATTCCTTCTACTTTCTCGGCTTTGTATTCTATAATTGTCCATTCTCTAATTGTCCTCAGTATTTCTGGATACTAAAGTCATCTTCAATAAGTTACGAAAAAATCGGCAAGATATTGAAGATAAGAGGTGCAATGGCAAATGTCGATGAATAAGTTAGCTGGTCAAGATGAAATTTGCACAGAACTAGCGAGGCTGAGAGAACTACTCTCGATAGTGCATTTGTTTCTGCCTCTTCAAAATCCATATGGACTGTCATTCGCTTCTTTGCCAATTCTGAAGATAATTCTTCAAAAACATATTTATAGATCTCATACTAAGACTCTTCTATCTTCCTTTCCATTAGAGCAGGAACAATTGTCAAACCCTATATGCAATGGGGGCTTTTTTTTAAGAATCAGACATAAACGATATCAAAAAATATAAGAGGGAAAATTTCATCATGTAAACTGAGGATCAAGATACGCGACTGCGTATCGGGCAAGTGAAGGTTTTAGCGGTGTGACGTCACATGCCGATGATGTCGCGTATAATATACACGACACAATACTCCAAAAATGTGTTTGACCTTTTTTCTCGTAATACGAGAATTTTTCGCGAAATCGGGCCTTAGTTACATTATATAAGTTGACTCTGAGTTTTATGAAGATATTTTTACTTTTTCGATTAAATCACAAAATAAAAATATCCTCCCATAGCAACCATCATAATGTCATATTTCCTCAATTTTATTTTCTCTCGGCATTACATTAG